ATGGGCTTCAGATTGGTTTCACAGGTCGGCGCAACATCGAGGGCCGAAGGGCCTGTACTGCGCTGTAATGTTCTATGTTCTATGTAAAGAAGCTCCACTTCCCATTTCAGCTCTTAGAATAGAGCTGATGCACTGAGGTGACAGAAGCTGTGGACTCTCTGTGGACCACTTTCTCTTCTCATAATATCAGAAGACCCTAAGATAAACAAAGACTCACCTGAGCATAGCCACTGTATTTGTAGCTTGGTAATCCTCAGGGTAATCCTTAGCATTCTCGGGTAAGGCGAAGGATGGTGGTGTATGCTTCCTGATCAACACTTCCTGGTGCTCGGACGTAGTGATCCTGGCAAGCCATTGCTCCCCAGACCTAGAACACCTTACAGCAAAATGCCTTCCTGCTATCTACCATGAGAGTTCACTTCCACCGCCCTGATAGCAGTCTACATACCACCCCATGTGGATCAGATTTACACCGCCACAAACACACTAGAGACAAAATTCCCCGAGGCCCTCTTCTTATGGCCGGTGACTTCACCAAGCCAATCTCAAGAGGGTGCTGCCAAAATAGCACCAACACATCTCCTGCCCCACCAGAGGATGGAATATTCTGGACCACTGCTACACAACCATCAAAGACGCCCACCACCCAATCCCCCGCCCACACTTAGGAAAATCCGATCACAGCGCTGTGTTCCTCCTCGCAGCTTACAAGCAGGAGCTGAAAAGGGAGACTCCTTCACAAAACAGTACGGTGCCGGTGCGAGGCTGTGGAACATAGAACGTAGAACAGTACAGCACACTACAGGCCCTTCGGCCCACGATGTTGTGCCGAACTTTTACCCTAAACCTAAGGTCTGTCTATCCTCCACCCCTACATTATACTATCATCCATATGCCTATCTAATAGCTGCTTAAATGCCCCGAATGAGGCCGACTCCACTACCCTCTCCGGCAATGCATTCCACACCCCGACCACTCTCTGAGTAAAGAACCTACCTCTGACATCTCCCCTATATCTACCTCCACTCACTGAACACAATACTCCAGATATGGCCGAACCAGGGTTTTGTATAGCTGGAGCATAACTTCACGGCTCTTGAACTCAATCCCTCTACTAATGAAAGCTAACAGACCATACACCTTCTTAGCAACTCTATCCACCTGGGTGGCAGCTTTCAAGGAACTGTGGACATGAACCCCAAGATCCCTCTGCTCCTCCACACTGCCAAGAATCTTTCTGTTAACCCTGTATTCTGCTTTCAAGTTTGTCCTTCCAAAATGAATCACCTCACACTTTTCAGGGTTAAACTCCATCTGTTACTTCTCAGCCCAGCTCTGCATCCTGTCAATGTCCCTTTGAAACCTAGAACAGCCCTCTGGACTATCCACAACTCGACCCACCTTCGTATCGTCCACGAACTTACTAATCCACCCTTCCACTCCTACATCCAAATCATTTACAAAAATCACAAACAGAAGAGAACCCAGAACAGATCCTTGTGGTACACCACTCGTAACTGAGCACCATGTTGAAGACCGTCTCTGGGACTGCCTGGACTCGGTGGGCTGGATCATGTTCCAGTCTTCAGCGGAAAACTTAGATGAATACGCCACCTCCATCACGGACTTCATTAACAAACGTGTGGGGGACGGTAAACCAAATCCGAGTGTTTCCCAACCGGAAACCTTGGATGAACCAGGAAACCCACTCCCTACTGAAGACCAGATGTGCAGCATTCAAGTCAGACCACACAGACCAAGACAGAAAATCCAGATATGACCTCCTGTAAATCTATCAGGAAGGCCAAGAGGCAGAACCAGACCAAGTTTGAGGCCCAAACTGACCAAACAGATTCCCGCTGTCTATTGCAAGGCCTAAACAACATTACAGGACACAAAATGAAACCGTGTGAGATATCAGACAATGACACATCCCTCCCTGACATGCTCAATGCTTTCTATGCTCAGTTTGAGCAGAATGCCAGTGGCGCGGTGATGCCCATCCCCACAGCCCCGGACACATCTGTTCCCTCCGTCAATGGTGCAGACGTCGGATCGGTTTTCCTGGGAGTCAACCCAAGGAAAGTGATGGGCCTGGACGGTGTCCCTGGCCAAACACTCAGATCCTGTGCAAGCCAGCTGGTGGAGGTATTCACCGACATCTTCAACCTCTCCCTCCTACAAGCCAAAGTCCCCACCTGCTTCAAGAAGACCACCATCCTCCCCGTACCCAAGAAAACACATGCAATGTGCCTTAATGACTACCACCCAATAACTCTGACCTCAGTAACCATGAAGTGCTTAGAGAGGCTGGTCATGGCCCACATCAACTCCAGCCTCCCAATCTGCCTCGATCCCCTACAGTTTGCCTTCCGACGTAACAGGTCCACAGAAGATGCCATGTCCCTCGCCCTGCACTCATCCCTGGAACATCTGGACAACAAAGCCACCTGCGTCAGACTTCTGCTTATTGACCACAGTTCTGCCTTCAACACCATTATCCCCTCCTGACTGATCTTAAAACGGTGTGACCTTGGTCTCGGCTCCGACCTCTGCAACTGGATCCTTAGCTTTCTGACCCATTGGCTGCAAACAATGAGGATAGGTAACTGCATCTCCTCCCCAATAACACTCAACACTGGAGCTTCCCCCACCCCAAGGATGCATCGTCAGCCCCCTATTGTACCCCCTGTACACCAATGACTATGTCGCCAAATTCCAAATTAACGCCATCTACAAGTTCACTGATGACACCACTATGTGGGATGGATATCTAATGACAAGTCAGAATACAGAAGGGGGATAGAGGGTTTGATGACGTGGTGCAATGAAAACAACCGGTCTCTCAACGTCAGCATAACTAAAGAACTGATCATCGACTTCATAAAGGAAGGAGGAGAACACGCCCCCATCTACATCAATGGAATTGAGGTTGTGAGAGTGAAGAGCATCAAGCTCCTCGGAGTGACGATAACCAATGACCAGTCATAGACTTCCCACGTAGATGTTACAGTCAATAAGGCACAACAATGCCTCTTCTTCCTCAGGCGGCTCAGGAAATTTGGCATGTCCATAAGGTCCCTCACCAACTTCTACAGATGCACCATTGAAAGCAAACTGTCCAGGTGCATAACGGCTTAGTATGGCAACTGCTCTGCCCAGGACCGTAAGAAACTGCAGAAGGTGGTGTGCACAGCCCAGACCATCACGGAAGCCAACTCCCCATCTATGGACTCCATTTACACGGCTTGCTGCCGTGGAAAGGCGGCCAACATCAAAGACCCATCGCACCCCGGTAATGATCTCCTACAACCTCTTCCGTCAGGCAGAAGATACAGAAACCTGAACACACGCACAAACAGGTTCAGCTTTTTCCCAGCCATTGTTAGACCGATGAATGGACTCTCTAGCCTCAAATAACGCTGATCTTGCTAACATTGATCTCACCTTGCCCATGCCCTGTGCAATGTAACCTGTATGCTTCTAAGTCTTTTTGATCTGTACATCCTTTGCTCACTATGATCTGCCTGTAAACAAAGCTTTTCACTGTACTTCAGTATATGTGACAATAAATTAATCAATAATCTTCAAACTTCCAATTGGTTCATCTTGTGATGGGTTAGCCACGACCAACAGCCTGCTTGCATAATCCCCAATGAATGGTCTGGAATCATATGTAAGTCAGACTGGATAAGACTAGCAGATTTCTTTCCCTAAAGGGCATTAGTGAACAATACAGGTTTGTACAACAATTAGTGTACTGAGACCAACATTTTTATACTCCCAGATTTATTCATCTAAATTCCATTGGTGATGGGATTTAAGCTCCCATCCCCAAAACATTAGCCTGGGCCCTTAGATTACCAGCTCAGGGGCATTACCACAATACCATCACCTCTTCCCTAAATTGCCACCTTATTGTATTCTGTCATGAAGACAGTATGGTTGCCACATTCCCCTGTGAAATATGGTAACCGTCACACTGCAAGTTAATACTTTCAGGTTAAAACTAATATAGGATTTATTTACTAACAAAACAATTACACTAAAATAGAAAAACACATTAAGAAGCTGTGATGTAATACACCACCTAAACAAAATTCTCAAACTTCCAAATTCAAAATAAAAAAAAGTTCAAAATCTCATGGTCCTTTTCAGAAAGGTCTGATTGATTCTCTGAAGGTTATGAAAGGGCTTGATCCTTCATGAAGTTCCTCCTTAACCCCTTGGTTGATTGAAGCAGTGTCCAGAATGGTACACAGGACCATGGCAGCTAATCAGATAGATGAATAATTTTAGTTATCTTAATCAGTTAGTTCTGATGTGTTACGGTGGGAGTTCTGACTCAGAGGTAGGGATACCATTGCACCACAAGAACCTTCGATGTCTGGTGTGATTCTGATGTTAAGCAGTCTCATTTGATCATATTCTGTTCAATGGTCAGACATTTGATGTACGATACACATCTAAACATACAAGCTGGTTCGTTGTGAATAGTTGGTTCATGGCCCTTTTGCTGTTAACACTCTGATTGCCCTCAAATATTGTCCAGGATTAAAACCAATTTATTTATTTACAAATATTATAATTGCTCAAAAACGGAAACTGTTAATGCAATAGGTGACTTACCTGACTCAAATTATTTTAGTATTTTAAGAAAATGCATGTTGTTTCCTTCATTTAGTTTGTGGATTTCTCTGGATTTGCATAGGCGGATGTCACCTTGCAATATTTTGCAAAGGTTAAAACTTTGAAGAACAACAAATCTATTGGTAACCTGTTACACGGGAGTTTAGTCAGAGAACGGAGATTGTGGTGTTAGTTGTCCAGGGAGTTAAAGAGAGGGAGACTAGGAAAGTATGGGAAGCTACAGCGAGTACTGACTAGTGATGAATTGTTTTTTTTCCTTGTGAGATTTGTATTCTGAATGCTCCTGTGCTAATCTGTTGAAGGATCAATAATCTTGCATAATGGTTTGATATCCCTCTGGATTTGATTAGGTTTATGCTCATGCAGGAGCAGTGCATGCAGGGAAGATATACGTAGCCTGTGGAAGAAGTGGCAGAAGTTACTTGAAGGAGCTGAACTGCTACGATCCAGAGGCAAACCAGTGGGAAATGAAGGCCAGTGCCCCTGTGGAACGGGCTTGGCATGGAATGGCTGCAGTTCGAGGCCAGCTTTACCTACTCGGTGGCAGCAACAATGCCAATGGATACAGGCAGGACGTCGTGCAGGTAAGCTTTGAGCAAGGTGGGATGTTTCTGCTTTTGGGCTTCTACCTCCTCGTCATCTAATCAGCTTGATGTGCAAGGTTAGAATGGCTGGGATTCACAATGTGAATCTGAGAGCTGTTGGCAGAGAGACGTTCAAAATGGTGATGTCTCAGCCCTCTGGAAGATGTCACGGATGACAAAAGCCACCTGTTTTACAAGACTTCTGCCCTCTTGTACATTCTTCATTTTAAATGCTTACCTATTGGCAGTTGCATTTTTAACTGCAGAGGTCCTAAACACAAATTCCCTCACTAAGTTTGTCCATCACTCTACACCCTCTCTTACCTTAAAACTTACCCTTTTTACAACCTGTCATAATACTCTGCAAATTTTGTTTGATAACATTCCTGTGAAGCGCCTTGTGGCATTTGACTGTATTAAAGGCACTATATAAATTCAAGTTCTTGCTGCTGAATGAATTGTGCCCCTTGCTGACAACACTCACTTTTGGCTTTGTTGAGGCTGCCAGTTAGCCTGGCTCAAACCAGCAGCCATTCTTGGAAACAAGGCACGATTGCTGCTTTGAAATTGCATTTGTATCAGTTGTCGTGGTCTGTGAAGTGTTACGCTATTAGTTTGTGCCCTGCTTGTTCACACTGCTACCACCCTTCCAATGCTTTTCTTCCTGTTGTGTCTTTGAAGGTTTCCTGTTACAGCCCTGAGCGAGACCAGTGGTCAACGGTTTCCGAAATGCCCTTTGGTCATGGAGAGCCAGGCATTGCTGTCTTGGATGACAGAATCTACATCCTGGGCGGGAGGTCACACGACCGTTACACACGCACTGACTACGTCCATATATACAACGTGGCGGAACACTGCTGGGAGCAAGCTCCGGATATTGAGTGCGCCAATTCTGGCATGTCCTGCTGTGTCCTGACCCTCCCGAGACAACTGGTGGAGGACTGGGGGAGTCCGACTCCCCGGAAACATTCAGAGCGTGCCTGCCGCCGTGCCTACATGCTTCCCGAAGTGGTCGGCTTGTCTGACTTTGAGGAATTCAGTTCCAGTGAAGACTGAACGTTTGGTTAAACAGGCCGTACTGTTCAACTTTTCTGTTCTTAATGTGGCGCAACCTATGGATTACTACTTTGTCCCTTTTGTTTCTTTTCTCTGTGTTCTCAGCCTTGCTACTGAAGGTTCTGCTTTGTGCAGGGGCATTGCGGAGGGGCTAGGGGATTGTGAAGGTATCACAGGAACGGGCAGTTTCTCCTCACCTTCCCTCATGTTACCTTATCCAAGTGGCTGCTCTTGAGCAGACAAGTGTATGTTGACAAGTGTAGGATCTTGGAGAGGCCATTGCCTCTAAACCTGACCATGTCATGAGGCTACAACAGAATCCTTGACACCACCACTACCCCTTCTAATCTGTGTTAAATGTAAAAATCCAAACCAAGAATTGCTATCTCAGTATAGGAAATGTATCATATCTGGCACTCTATGATTTACATGAGTTTATACCAAATCTTACATCATTGGGGAATTTTATTTAATCAGTTTTCTTCCTTCAGTATTAGGAAGTCCAGCTATAAGCTAGACAATAAATCCAGCAATATCTGTCTGTCATACACAAACTTTTCATTCACATTTAATAATACTGCTTTGATTGGTTCAGCCTTGTGAACAGAACATTAGAATCTTCTCAAATAAAAGCAAATTACTGCAGATGCTGGAAATCTGAAGTAAAAAGAGAAAATACTGGAGAAACACAACAGGTCTGGCAGCATCTGTGGAGAGTAAAACAGAGTTAATGCTTTGAGTCCAATATTACTCTTGTTCCTGTTGTGATGAAGTGATATTGAACTTAACATTAACTCTGTTTCATTCTCCACAGATGTTACCACACCTATTGAGCTTCTGCAGCGTTTTCACTTTTAGTTAGAGTCATCTCCCTGCACTCTCACTTTAATTATATTCATTCCTTTTTTCTCTTCCTTCCCAGGACTCCAGAGTTACAGATCCCCACACCTCCCTTAGCTTTCTCATTCCCCTACGCAGCACACTCCAAAAAAGATCCAAGCTTTCAGTCTTCCCCGGTTCAGAAGCTGGGTGGGTTCAGCTCCCACCCTGAAGACATTAGCACATGGTGCTTTATTCTGAATAGAGGGAGTACTGCATTGACAGCAGTGTGTCATTCATTGAGCTTAAACCAAGGTTCTGTCTGTTGTCAGGAGAGCTACTAATCTGTCCCTGTAAAAATGGAATAAAAAGATCTTCTGGCCCTGTTTTGAAGAACCAAGATGTCCCTGGTATCCAGGTCAATATTTGCTCCTTCAACAAATATTTGATGTCCTGACAGTTATCACATTGCTGCTTTGGCTGCTAGATTTCTGACATTACAACAATAGAATAGAATCTCTACTCTACAGTGTGGAAACTGTTTGCACTCCATTGGCTGTGAAGTGTTTCAGAGCATTCTGAGGTGCAAGTTTTTATTGAATTGATTGTATTTTTTCCATACCATTTCACTGTTTCCTTCACACAAGGTCTTCTGTGCCACCACTTTGCCATTTTTCACGGCAAACTGTCAGTGATGATATTGCTGACTTGTACTCGTCAGTGTTGACAAGGTCCAGTTCCCCTGCCCTGCTCCAAAAAATAAAACCGCATTCTAACTCACCCTAGGTTGACAAATGGAGTATCTAGAGTAACTCCCATCCTCATAATACAGTAACTACTCCTTTAGCTCAACATTCACTTTTCTTGCTCCTGCGAAGTGCCTTGGGATCTATGTCCACATTCAAGGTGCTATATATATGTAAGTAGCTAAGGTAAACTGGGTCTGAAGTGATTATTATACTAGAAGTCAATTTATTGACTTGTTTGAGGGGTTTAAAGCACATAGTTCATGCATGGTTTTCTTCTCAAATTTGTATTCTCCATGAGCGATCCCACTAGAGATTGCTTTACCCCATTTCCATGCAGACATGTCAACTCTTTCATGCTTTTTATGGGTGGCACAAATTTGCGGATCATCTTCCTAAAACCAAGCTAAACCTGTGAGTTGACTGTTGTGTCATTTGCCACCTCTAAAGATTGATGGATTTTACATCAAGATATATCTGACCGGATAAACATGACGGCATTTTTGGTAAAAGTCTAATCTAGAGATTCGAGTAAAGAACGGTTTAAGTGAGAAAAGATTGTAAGGATCTGGGAAGAGTTGGGAGATCTGTATGTGTTTGGATAATGCATGTTATTCGCTTCGAAAGACCTTCTTAAATGTGTGAAGTTCTGATTTTATCAAAGGCTAATCAGCTGGTGATGCCATGAATATGAGGGGGGAAAGGTTTTATAGAATTCTTTGAATCATGAAGCTATTGGAGCCTTGATATAGGGTGAAATTTATTTTCCATTTTACAGTGCTTTGAAATTACACACATTGGAAACAGTGCTCATTTTGTTTTTAACCTATAACCTACTCTGCTGTAATACATGCAACAATAAACATAACTTATATTTAAATGAGTGTTCAATCTCCATCTTTGCAATCCTTACACTGATTCAGAATATTATCTTGATGCAAGTGTATCTGAATTAACAGTTTGTTTAATAGGAAGGCAGATAATTATCTGAATGGTGATAGATTAGGAAACGGGGAGGTGCAGTGAGACCTGGCTGTCGTCGTACATCAGTCACTGCAAGGTAAGCATTGCTGGTGCATCAGGCAGTGAAGAAGGCAAATGGTATGTTGGCCTTCATAGCAAGAGGCTTCAAGTACAGGAGCAGGGAAGTCTTGCTGCAATTGCACAGGGCCTTGGTGAGACCACACCTGGAGTATTGTGTGCAGTTCTGGTCTCCTTATTTGAGGGTGGATGTTCTGGCCACAGAGGGACTGCTACAAAGATTTATCAAACTGACTTCTAGGATGGCAGGACTGATGCGTGAAAAGAGACTGGATTGGTTAGGATTATATTCACCGGTTGTTTAGAAGAATGAGAGAGGGTCTCATAGAAACTAATAACAGGACAATACAGAATAAATGCAAGAAGAGATAGCAAGAACTGCAGATGCTGGAGTCAGAGTCAACACAGTGTGGGGTTGGAGGAACACAGCAGGTCAGGCAGCATCAAAGAAGCAGGAAAATCACCGTTTCGGGTCGAGACCCTTCATCAGAATCTTCTGAAGAAGGGTCCTGACCTGAAACATCAACTTTCCTGCTCCTCTGACATTGCCTGGCCTGCTGTGTTCCTCTAGCTCCACGCTGATAAATGCAAGAAGGAAACCAGAATCAGGTGTCACAGCCCATGGATATGGGGTAGGCCATTTAGGACTGGGATGAAGAGAAATTTCTTTACCTAGTAAGTGGGATTCTCTGCCATGGAAAGTGGTTAAAGCCAACGCAATGTTTTCAGGCAGAAATTAGATATAGTTCTTAGGGCAGAAGGGAGAAAGCAGGAACATGGTGTTGAGTTCTATGATGAGACATGATAATATTAAATGGTGGAGCAGGCTTACAGGATCTACTCCTATTTATGTCTCTCACAAAGAAAGCCATTTGGTTCCAAACATACTTAAATTCTGAGTGATGATATGGGATGGCATCATTCAGGCACTTGGCCAGGTGTCTGATGACACTGTATGTTGGGCTTCAGTGTTCGAGGATTGACATCTCTGTTTTGTAAGAGACATGCCAATGTCCACAGAGACCACCCAAATAAACTCCCTCACTTTACAGAGTCACAGACATCCTGCGTTCACCTCCCCACCTACAGACTTGAGCATACATTCCAAGTGAAGCTCAAAGGCAGAAAGGAAGAATTGCACTTTTGGAAGTGTCTTATTTTGGACAAGATCAAACTGTGATCTAATTTCCCTTAAAGGTGACATTAAAGATCCAACAGCTCTTATTTTGAAGAAAAGCAGGGAAGTTTTCCCCATTATCCTGACCAAAGTTCCCTCTTGTTGCATGAATGAGCTTCGAACAGTGAGATGCTTCAAAGTGACAGGGCTGTGGGTGGGGGGAGAGAGACCATGGAAAATACCCTAGCGGTGGGTTGGCCTGTGAGGAGAGGGGTGGTGTGTTTGAAGTAAATAAAAGTGATGGAGGCTCAGGATTCAGGAATGTTTAGGTCAGCCTAATCCTATTTCTTTACCAATCACAGTTGGGGACTTTGGTTTGTTGTCCTTGTCCCTAATCCATGAGTGTAGTTATATTGCCCATGTAACTGCAGTGGCTGAGATCAGATATCTTTGGTGCTAACAGTGTTGGGACTTTTCTGGCTGCTCCTAATTTGCAATGTTTTACCAGTCAAGCAATTTGTCATAAGTTCAGCTTAACAGTTTCTTCCACAAAAGCAAATAGCTGCATATGAAAAGAGTAACAACTTCAAGCTCTGTGCAGGTGAAATAAAACCCAGGTGAATTTATTTCTTTCATATTGTTGCAGCTTTCTCAGGCATTGCAATACAGAATCAAATGGCTGCTACCAAGCACTAACTTTATTTACTCATGATCTCTTATGCCTGATAACAGACTCTTAAATAAGTGTGGTCAGGTGAGACATTTTCTCTTCCTATTGTGCTTTTATTTGTTCTGTTTTAGGGACTGGGTATTTTTTATTCATTCATAGGATGAGGGCATCACTGGCCAGGCAGTATTTATTGCCCATCCATAATTGCCCTGAGGGCAGTTAAGAGTCAACCACATTGCTTGGGTCTGGAGTCACATGTAGGCCAGACCAGGTAAGGATGGCAGTTTCCTTCCCTAAAGGAAATTGGTGAACTAGATGGGTTTTTCCAACAATCGACAATGGATTTGTGGTCATCATTAAACTCTTAATTCCAGATATTTTATTTAATTCAACTTCTACCATGTGCTGTGGTGAGATTAGAACCTGGGTCTCTGTATCAACAGTCCAGTGATAATACCCTGGAGAGGCAATAGCCCAGTTGTAAGTGGGACAAAGGCATTATTCAGCAATATTGCCCTTTCTTCTGCATCGCAGATACTTGGAAATCTTTTAACAATTAATCCCAATGCTCAATATCCAAAGGTGGAAGGCTAGCCATGCAGTGCAATAAGGTGATTTCTCTCAATGCCGTAACCTGTAGAAATCCTGATCTACTGCAAATTAGATATCAGTGTGGGAGACAGTGCAGAAAGGATGAAAGGAATGGTTCCTGGGAGGAAGGTCTTCAATTACATTGAGAAACTGGAGCTCGTATTCTTGGAGAATACATTCGGAGACAATTCGATAGAGATGTTCAGAATGAAATTAAAAGGAACTGTACCTATCAGCACAAGGGAGCCAGAGGACCATAAGGTGACTGACATAGAACCAGTAGTTTAAAAAAGGGAAATGTTTTTTGTGCTCCTGAGTGATTCAGATTTGGATTGCATTGCCAGTGTGTGTGGCAGACAAATTTGTTTGTCTCTTTCAAAAGGGAATTAGATCATTATCTGACAGACTGAATGGCATCCTCTGTGCTGTAATCCTTTTATGAAAAAATTCTGTATTTATGTGACACCTTTCATGAACCCTTTCTTTATTTGTATGATGTGGGTGTTTCTGGGTCATTTGCTAACAATATTTGGTTCTACATATTAACAAACAATCCAGGGGTATAGTTTGTTTTTAGATTTTGTCATGTGTACGTAAGTACAGTGCAAAGTATATAATGTCGCTACACATGGCACCATTTTACATACAAAGTAGTAAGAAATGACAGTTAAAAAGTTAATCATTATTTCATAAAATAGGAAAAGAAATTTACATTAAAGTCTTTCATAGTTTAGACTAGAAACATAAAGGAATAAGCTAAAGGTTCAACGGTCTTTGACGAGTCCTCCACTTATTGCTCTCTGGGAGATCTCAGCTGTTTGTTCTCGTCACTACTGCAGATACAGGATCCACTAGCATGCTGAGCTGAGACATTGCCATGAGCTGCTGAGACACCAGGCCTGGGACTTGTCATGAACTGCCAAGAGAGGAGGCTGGGACGTGCCAGGAGCCACCGAGCAGATATGGGAATAATGAAGAAAGTCGATGTTGAAGATTAACCACAATCTAGTTGAATGATGGAGCAGGCTTAAGGAGCTAAATTGCCGAATCCTGCTCCTTTTGTTATGTTCTTATCCCCAATCACCTTTGAGAATATGGTGGTGAGTTGCCTAGTTGACAAGTGAGTAGCTGTACAGATTATTTCTGTGGGTTTATAGATATACATATGTTTATTGTTTGTACTGTTGAAGACATCCAGACTTACCAACATTGGTACACACATCCCATTTTGCACACGGATGGAAAATAATACTGACTAAAATGATTTGTCTGCAGTGAGAATCTTTATTGTGCATATTAACAGACTATTCTGCTGTAACTATCTTTTAATAACTACATCAGAACAAGAAAGAATCTATTGTCCGTGAAGCATTTTGGGACATCCTGTGATTGTGAAAGTAGGTATATGAATGGTTCTGGTACACTCCTGTTGGTTCAGTCTTAGCTGGCTGTTTGCAATGGGTTACTTTTAGCAGCAGGCTTTGCAGCTGTGTTGTGGTCCGATATGTGTAGCTGCATCAAAAATTGGCAATATCGTGCTAAGCGAAGCTTAATCTGCCTTTCCGTAACTGTGAGTTACTGAGCTGGACAGTTGACTTGGGTACTGTTCCACTCAACCACATCCTTGCTGATTCTGCATCGAGCTCCTTCAGAAAGTGGAGTGCTCGGACCAACCTCAGTCCAGAACCATAGCTTTCAGTCGTCAAATAGGTCAGTTTCCCCAACACCATCCACCCTAGTTAACCCCTCATTAAACTCTCAGGCACTTACAGCATAGAAGTGAGCCATTCAGCCCAATGTTTCTGTGCCAGTCAACAAAAACCTGTTCTGACATTTTTCAGCCCACACCAACACAGGTGGCTATCTAAATGCTGCTTATAACGTTTGTGAATTTCTTACTCAAGCACTCTTTCAGGCAGTGAACGCTAGACTCCAAGTGAAAACATTTCTCAATTCTCCTCTGACCTGCAACAGTTATACACCAAAACATCTTCAATGTACACACAGCACATTCCTAAGCAAAGCACTTTGAGGTCTTCCCCTCAGTACTTCTAGCTGAGGCCTATCTCTTATTAGAGAAAGGCAGAGGTTTAACTCAAGGGTCAGCATGCCTCAGGCGAGGGGAGAGGTTGAGAATGGAGCGGCCAGCACTTTGCTGCCTGCTTTCCAATCTTATGGAAAGCTCCCTTGTACAAAGAGAACAGTTACGTTCAAGTGAGAAAGGTAGTTGCAGCTGGATAGTCTACCAATGTGCAGAATAAAGCTTCTCAGCATGGACAAACAACTATGGCAGTAAGTTCCTGATGGGTGGGTGAGAGGCACCTTTCGACCTATAAGAGGGGGGAAAAGCCTTTAGTCTGGAACTATTACCAATGATGTGTTTTCTCGTTACCAGAGCCCATCACCATGGTTTCTTCTTCAAGAAGCCAGTGTAGTTTTTATTTTCTGTTACCAGTGCCAACGCTGTGGTTATCCGTTACAGGTACTGCAAAGTTGGTGCACCCCTCCAAATTCAGTTTCTTTTGTTTGTTGAAGATTTGTGGATGCAATGTTTATAGCATAAGTTGAATTCACAAAAAAAGGTTAAATTAGGTCAATAAACATACTGGTTTAGTAAACTTTGTTTTGAATGATTGCCACATGCCCAAAGTTTTCTGCCTTTTCAATAATCCTTCCAATCACTATTAATTTCCTATGTTCTCCTCGTCTGTGTGAGCTCACCTACATGTCTTTCTAGTCCTTTTCATTCATTTGAATGAAGTTGTAAAGGTTATTATTGGGACTCAGATGATGAGTAACTCATTGTATATGTTACTTAATTTCTCAACTCAGACCCGAATAGAGTCCAAGTCTTGCTGCATCCGCATGGACTGCTTTAGTATCTGAACAGCTGAAAACGATATTATGTAATCATCAGTGAATATCCCCACTTCTAAACTTTTGATGGAAGAAAGGTGACTGGTAAAGCAGCTGAACATGATGGGACTTGGAAGGGCTGAGTGGCCTACTCTTGTTCCTATTACAGTTTGCCATTAGACGTTAGGGAGGCTTAAGGAAGCTGATTAAATATTTAACATGTTGACTTTCATCTAACATTGATTTTAATTTTCCAACGTCACTAGTTATTTCCTAATCTGAACCCTGAAGCTAATCCTTTTCAGAGGAAGGGAGACAGAAATCAGAAAGCTATAGGCCACTCAGCTTAACATCTGTCATAAGGAAAATGTCAGAAACTACTATTAAAGACATGATAACAGGACACTTAGATAAGTTCAAGGTAATCAGGCAGCGCTAACATGATATTCTGTCAAAGAGAAATCATGTTTAACTAATTTGTGTTTGGAGTTCTTTGAAAAGTAACTTGTAGATAATGGGGAACCAGTGGATGTATTTTAGATTTCCAGAAGGCATTTGATAATGAGCCATATCAAAGGTTAATGTGGAAAATAAAAGCTCATGATATGGGGGCAATATATTGACCTGAAAAGATGAATGGCTGGCTAACAGGAAGGAATGGGTCTTTTTCAAGCTGACAATTGGTGTCCCACCAGGATTAGTACTGGGGCCTCAACTCTTCAATTTATAGGAATGACTCAGATGAAGGTATCAAAAATGTGGTAGCTAAATTCGCTGATGACACAAAGATAAGTCGGAAAGTGAGTTGTGGAGAGGAGATAAGGAGCCCTTAAAGGAAAACAGGTGAAATGAGTGGCTAAAGATCTGGCAATTGGAGTATCATGTGGCGAAAACGTGAAATTGTCCATTTCAACTGAAAGAATAAAATAAAAGCGTATTATCGAAATGGTGAGAGGTTGCAGATTCTGAGATGCAATGGAATCTGGGTGTCCTAGTGCATGAATCACAGAAAGTTAGCTTGCAGCTACAGCAAGTAATCAGCAAAACTAATACAACATTGTGTTTATTGAGAGGGGAATTGAAGGTCAAAGTAGGGGGGTTATGCTTTCAGTTAAACAGGGCATCGGTGACACTACATCTGGGGGAGTGTGTGCAATACTGGTCACCGTACTCAGAGAAGGATGTTAGTGTGTTGGAAGCAGTTCTGAGAAGGTTTACTAGACTAATACCTGGAATGAGTGGATTGCCTTGAGGGGAAGTGAGACTGGCTAGATTTGTCTGAGTTTAGACGAGTCAGAGGGAACCTAATTGAAACATCTAAGGTCCTGACAGGATTTGATTGGGTGAATGTGGAAAAGATATTTCCTTTTATGGATGAATCTAAAGGGGGTGGGATGTAGTTTAAAACCCGAGGGTGTGGCCATTTAAGACTGAGATAAGGAAACATTTCTTCTCTGGGAGCTGAGGTCTTTGGAATTTCCTTCTTCAAAAGGCACTGGATGCAGAATCTTTAAATATTTTTAAGGCAGAGGTAGATACTCTTGATTACCAAGGGGATGAAAGATCATCAGGAATATACAGGAATGTAGAGTTGATAAAAAAAAATAGATCAGCCATGATCTTATTGAATGGTGGAGCAGGCTCAAAGAGCTAAGAGGCCTATTCTTGTTCCATTTTTGTATTAGTTTGCCATTACAAGATATTAGCGAGGGTTAAGGACTTTGGTTATTTTGGACTTTGGTTATTCTCTGTAAAAACGATTGAAGGTTTTAGAATTTTGAAGGGATTTTTAAAACTCCTGCAATATCCATGGTTTATCAGGATGCAGAGCTTTTCCCAGGTAACATAAAACATTAAACTGCAGCCACACGGTACCACCTCTGAGCCCACCGGCAGAATAACTTCAGCAAATTCCTAGCAACCACTGCTTTTTGCAGAGCAGGAACTTACACAGCACACATTTATTTATCGAGGTTTAACACAGTGGGTAAAATTCATTCTCCAAGTCTGGAAAGTGAGCCATTTCAGACTATATTTCCCAACAGTATTTTGTAAGTTCACCTCTGAACCAAGTGCTTGCCTACACCTGCTGCCTTCTTCATTCGAAATGGAGGATGTTAAAGATTTTAGAAATTCTGGTAATATTGTAGATACACTCCTTGTAGGTCCCCCTTCCTGAGGGGTGGCGAGTTCAAAACTAGAGAGCACAATTTTAAAGTGAGAGGAGAAAGATTTAAAAAGGGACCTGAGGGGAGAATGGTTTGTATACGGAATTAACTGCCAGAGGAAGTGGCAGATGCAGGTACAGTTACAATATTTAAAAATGATTTGAACAGGTACACAAATAGGAAAGACTGAGGGGGACATGGGCTAAATGGAGTCAAATGGGATTAGTTTTGTTTGGGAAACCTGCTTGGCATGGACATGTTGGACCAAAGGGTCTGTTTCTGTGCTGTATGACAGTGTGTTTGTGTGTGAGAGAAAGACCCTGATAGTGACTCAAGGTTAGCAACACCATAAAGAGGGGCGGAACAAGACTATGAGAATTATAGCTGCTGAGAATTTGTACTCTTTAACAAGATGTAAACAGAGAAGTCAAGATTTAATTAATATTTCTCCTCAGTTTTTAAACTGAGGACAGAATCATGGATGCTAAGGAAATAAGGTGGGGATGTTTTGGACCACATACACAATACCAGGGAGATGTTTGCAGCCTTAAAGCACATTAAGGTGGATAAATCCCCTAGGCCTGATCAAGTCCATCCGTGGATGCTGTGGGAGGATAGGGAATAAATTGCAGAGGCCCTTGCAGAGATTTTTCCTTCATCTTTAGCCACTGAAGTATATGGAATGGGCTGCCAGAGAAAGTGGTTGAGGCAGGTACAATAGCAACATTTAAAAAACATGTGGATAGTTACATGGATGAGAAGGGTTGAGAGGGATATGGACCAAATGCGGGCAATTGGAACGAGCTGAATGGGCACCATGGTCAGCATTGGTCAGTTTAGGCCAAAGGGCCTGTTTCCATGCTGTATGACTCTGTGACTCCAAATCAAGTCCACTCGACACTGTCCCTATCAGGCACTCCAGGTAAAAACAGTAAAGCTCACCCTACTCTTTTGAAATAGAAAAGTAGTTTCGTCCACTCTTTGGAAATCAGCTTTGTGAACTATAAGCCAGCAACTTGCTTGTAGGCTGTGGGGGATACAAAAGATATAGTGATTTCTAACCAATATCCTTAATTCTGGCCCAACCCCATCGTGATTGTTCTCTGCATCATTAATTGCCCCCAGATAGCTCATGCGTTGGCAGAAGTGACGTAAAGCTGTGGGTGGCAGTTTGTTTCACACAACACACAGCCCCATCCTGACGGGAAGTTCGGGAACCAGAACCGTTCTCGTCCAGTGAATGCATGAACATTGACTACTTGACTTTACATGTGACCAATTTACCGAGATATTTGCTTGTCAGTATTAAACACCAGGACCAAATTATTAACGAACAGGCTAATTCAGAGGCTGGCAATGGGACAGCAACATGGGCAAAGCATCTGTGTGACCAAACAATCAACAGCTGCTACTGTTAAATGTCACAAAGTTCTCCAGGACACAATGCCTGTGGGTTGGAAGCAGGACACCCTTTTTATGGATGAAAATATTCCCGAAACCTCGGTTCCAGCATTGACACAAATACTGATATTCACAAGGCTGAGGAACAAGAACTGGACACTTGGAATGGTTCAATATAAATGATCTGCTGAATTACACAGTCAAAAAGATTAGGTGGTGTCAGGTCTGATTACCAACCTGATTGCAAATAACCAGTTCATTACTTCTCTCCCCCTCCAATTTAGTCCCCTCGTGAAAAGAGCCAAAACTAATAATTGAGCTAAAACTATAATTTATATAGGTGCACTGGCTATTGTCCATTCCCTTGCTTTAATGTTTGTGTTTGATCTCTCTTGATGTCACCAATTGTGAAGGCCAAAGCAGAACTAATGACCATGTCCGCGATCGGTTGTTCTCTGTGACACTCTCCCTTCTCCCAACAAATCTTACTGAAATTTGGGAACACTTTTTGAATGGAAAGCCAAATTTAGAGCTCCTTTAAAACACTGAGTTTGAAGTATTTCCTGTTAAAAATCTTTACCTTTTTAGATTCACTGCTGCTTTGGAAATACCTTCAGGAAGAAAGTAATATAGCATTGTAAATTGCAACAAATTCAGATGGCTCAGTAAAACAATAGTATGGTTATAAAACCGGAGTTAACTCCATTTTATTGTAACAGTTTTAGACAAAACAGCCCCAATGCCATTTCAAACCATTAGCATCAATTTCAGGTTCAGCATCAATTTTTAAACACCCCAAAGATATTTGTTAAAAATCTTCAAACGTGACCCAAAATATCAGGGACAGGGTGGGGTGGGAATAGAAAACGCAAATCACAACTGAACAGATAGGAAGGTGTTGAGGTTAAAGTGAGAGATATTAGATGTGCTCTCCAAGACACAGCAGGCAAATATCACAAAGCGACATACGAGAAGCTAACCACAGGCAGTTCAGAGGCTGAGGATGTGACTGTTCAGCCAGGAAGAGCAGTGTGTAAACCACTTGCACTCAAAGCACCAGGTCTCTCCCTGTCACTGGCTTTTACCCTCTATACACTGTCCATCCTGAGCTGCAAAACAAGGTCCACCCACTTTCACACAAGCCAAATAAATAGACCAAATAGTCTCCTTTCAGTTCCATACAAAGAAACAGTTCTCCCTAAATGTGTATCCCAAATACTCATTACTGATTGATTATCATTGCTGCTTGTGAATTGTTTTAACCAAGTTTCATAAAGGTTCACCTACACTCACGAGGGTCACAGCACCAGAGAACAGGCGGAGGGGCTGAAGTCAATTGCCACTTGAAACAAATGGTAGGTATTTCCAAGGCAGTGGCCAGTATCATGGGATACAGGGCTGTGGCTCAAAAGCATAAGTGAGTTTGCCCACAGCTCTGCAGAGCAGAGGTAGAGCTAAAATTAGCTCAGTTTTACCGTTATGACTTCAGCAATGAGTCAAATTGTGACTGAACATAATGCCACAAACTACAAGGTGCATCTGTCATGGCAAGAACAGATAAGACAAGACTTTTTAGCAGCCTGTGGTTTTAAGGGGCTCAACATCAACACTTGATATCAACTGTGCAATAGCAGAGATAACAAGGTGTAGAGCTGGATGAACACAGCAGGCCAAGCAGCATCAGAGGAGCAGGCCTGCTGTGTTCATCCAGCTCTACACCTTGTTATCTCAGATTCTCCAGCATCTGCAGTTCCTACTATCTCTGTGCAATAGCAATTACTTTTCGTCACTGCATTCTACAACATGGGTTAGAGATAGACTGAGGTAAAACAAAAAGTATTTTAAATTGAGTTGTTTAGATCAGTGTTTCCTTCTCAACTTAACCAAATTGTCTGGTGGATGCTGCCTTCCAATTACCATTTGAATTGTGAACTCTTCTGCGGAGTTCACTAGAAGCCCTGTCCTAATTCCTGAGTTCACACAACTCAAGTAGTACTGGGTGTATCAAACATAGCCTGTTCTTTGTATTTTCTTTTTTACCTTTCTTCTAATGTCCACATCGGTTTCATCCACAGCTAAGGACCGTGGAGGGGAGGAGATGTGAATTATTGTCAATTTTATTCATTCTGTACATTCATTATCCAAACACTGGCTTCAACAATGGAGCATTTCTACATTTGACCAAAAATAAAAACTAAGAAAATAGATATACCCCTCTGTGAAACCTGCAAATGCTATAATACTGTTAATTTCTGAAACATAAACCATGCACCCCAAAACACTCCAGTTTAGCATATGGCATTTTATAGATATAACTGGGGCTTGCGAGTACTTTACACTTCTAGACACTTGCATTTCCACACACTAGATTTATTTAATGAAGTGTTAGACATGATCTGTACTGTACACAGGCAAAAAGCTCCCATTCCCAGAATGTTAAACAAAATGCATTAATTATTCTCCTGGAACAGACAGCACAAAGCTTTCTACAAAAATAAAAGAGACTAGCATGCATGGAGGTCACAGACAAACATTTCAATAGTTTTCTTAAGCTATTAGCAACTATTAAAAACCTGTTGTGAACTTGCTGTGCTGTAAACAATATTTTATTGGCGACAAATGCAGTGGGAAGGCAGGCAAGTGATGCAGGCTGAGTACACGCTCACCCTTCACAGTGCGATTCATTGCTTGACTCACTGCGCGACGTTTACAAGAGGCACAGACATGTGTTTTATTTCATTCCTGTAGTGCACGAGCCTGCTTACAATATTATGGAAGCTGTTAAGCTAAAGGAGGAAGAGAAGCGGGCTAGGTACTAACAACCTGAAAGGGGAAACACTCACAAACCGGAACCGAATCAAAGGGTAAAGGGAAGGGAAAGGAAACATAGGGCATCGTTCATTCTCACAAGGCATTTCTGGCAACCAGACAATTTAAGGAGTCCAGTGTAACAGCTTGGCAAGCAAGCCAAGGGAGCTATAGTGGTTTGACAAAGAAACAAAGAACGGAACAGGACACAAAGCTAGTTGCATTACGGAGTTATAAAACTGAGGCATATTCAAAGATTCTGTAATAAAAACCTTTGCGTCAATACTGCTGAATCACAGTTGTTCCCACAACCCTGGATCTATTCAGTTAACTGAAGAGCTCAGCAAGGCAAGATGTGGAAAGGAAGGCAAATAAAAAAAAGTGTTAGTTCCAAAAGCTCTGAAGCCACAATATGGTAGCCCCTATACAAACACGAATACTAAAAGTCACCTTCAAAAAGTAACCAGGACAGTAATATCTATCCATCTCAACCCGTCCCACTCATACAGCGAGCGCTTTTATTTTAGGCACTAGATGCATACTTTGGTTCAATGGTGAACTAACCTCAGGACATTTGTCTGGTTCTTCCCCTCCTCCCTCTCCCTCCCCGTCCCATTTCACCACGCTATTTCCTCATTGTTCAGAAAATGCAGTGAGCTTCAGGAAGGTGGAGTCTTCCAAGGTTTCGTTTTAATAACCAGTACCAATGGTGTACTATGAAAACAGTGCAAAATGAACACTGCTGAGCAGCCAGTTACAACAGCACACACTCGCCAATCATTAATCTTGGTTGGGGCCACTCCAAGCCACTGAGTGAGAAAGAGAAAAAGCTCTTGTGGATTTGTTATATACACAAGGTGACTAGATGAAATCCAGTTACTAGTTTTCCAATAGCGAAAAAACTTCCAATTGTCTATTCCTGGCAGCTACTTTATGCCTACCTGCCAGAATTGCAGTGGGTGCTGCAGAGCTCAGCAACAAAGCAGCAAAAAGTAGGAACTATCAACTCTCCACAGCTAAGGGCAATAGCAATGGTGCTCTGTAAGGAAGTTTCAATCTTTCAAAGCAATTTATGTACAATTACTCCACAGGTATCATTTGTGTTGCCACTTTCACAGCAGCAAAGAGTCAGGCCCAATAGCTCAGTGAGTGCAGTTCCCCTCAGTAATCAGCTCGGTGGGGTGACAGCTTGTCAGCAGTGATTGACTTTAGTGTTGCACTGCGGGTGATAATGGTTTCCCCAGGGTGATTAAATAAAGCAGTCAGGGCACAGGTTTTCTAATATATAAGGCTTGAACATCTTCAGTTGAATATTATACAAAACAGGGAAGCCCATTTCAATACAGATTACCTCAGAGACTTTTGGTAGAGTAGTTTGGAGAAGGGTCATGTCCTTACTCCCAGTATGCAATGCAAAAGAAAAATGCTTCAGCAAGCAAAAGAGAGGGGGGAGTGGATGGAGGGACACAGACCAAAAAAAGGGGGAGAACAAACAAGAGAGGTGCAGAGAGAGAAGGGGGAGAGGGGAAGGGAAAGGGTGCACAGACGGGAGAGCGCGAGCAAGAAGGTGAGCACAGACAAGAGGGTGGAGAGAGAAAGGGGCGAGAAAGAAGGGACAGATGGGCGTGGGGTGGAAGGGAGTCGCTACAGGAGGAAGAAGAATGGACGGTGTGGGGAGAAATGAAGAGGCAAGTGAAAAGGAGATAGAAGGGGCAAAATGTAGGGAGAGAAAGGGTTGGTAGATGAAGGGAAGAAAGAAAGGCAAAGGAAACAAAGGAGATACAGAATTGCAAACAGATAAGACAGAAAGGCACAGTTTGGTCATGGAGAGAAAAAGTGCTGATAGGGAGGCAGAAGTGGCGAGTGAGAGAAAGACAGAAGTCATGAACAGGCAATTGAGAGGGAGGGGTCAATGTGGATCGGCAAGTGAGAGAGAGAAAAAACACGGGCAGAGGTGTGAGAAAGAATGGGTGCAAAAACAAACTAAGAGTGCACGCATGTAAGAAACCATCCAGTCTGCATGTGTAAGAGATGTGAAACGATTCTCCAATCTGTAAAACACACTGCAACCACAGCTCCTCTCAATCCCTTTAGCCACCTGCAGCTGATGACTTGAGCTGGACACTGGCAGAGGTCTGACAAACTGTACAGGCTGAATAGGAGTCTACCAAAGGCAGCTACCCAATATTAAGCATTTTTACAGAAAAGCAGACTGAGAAATTGTTTGTAGAAACCAGTTCCAGAAGGAAAAGGCACTAATATCCCCATTCGAATATTTTCTGTCCATTAGCCAGATGTCTGAATCATTCTTGATTTTCTGAAGGTCATTCACTAAAACTGAACCTACTACCTCCATATTTAGATATGAAAAGGTTGTGCCTTACTCAATCACAAGCCAGTCATTTTGCAGATTACCTGCCCCCACAGCCCAGCCCAGTCCTTAAGGCTTGAGTTACCAATTTATCCTTGTGCCTCACTCAGGCTACAACTAGCAATCTTTCTGGATTGCCAAGTGTTAACAATTCTGTTCCTGTTTTCCCAGAGTGTTTCCTCTTTCAAAGCTCAATTTTTACAGGTGTTACAAAACTGTAAAAGTGACTTATTCATGATTGTTTTCTACAGCTATCTACCTGATTGTATCCAAAAAAAATTGTCTCCTCTACATATTGGATATGGCACCACAGACTAACATATATAGGCTGTACTCTGAACCATTTCAAATCATTTTGAGTCCGATGCCTCAATTATTCACTCAGCTCCTTTACATTAAGTAAGCACTCAAGATAATAGCTGAGGCTAGATACATCTCGTCCCAGTAGCATCCCAAAATACCACAATTAATTAATTGGCAAGGGATCACCGCATTTACATGCCTGTCGTAGGCAGGAGGAATATCCATCAGGTGTGAGGGGTGCAGCCAAGTATACGCTCGGTTATCCCAGTTGGCTTCAAAATGTTTACTGAAGCATTAACTATCGTGGCACTGAGATCGAGACTGTCTCTCTCCCGTCCTTTACTCCATTTATTATTAGTAATCATGTAGCTTTAATGGTACGTGGGAAGAGCTCAGACAGAAACATTAAAATCCAGCAGGTAAGCAGATACTCAAAAATCCAATCGCGGTTCCATGGCAAAATGATGGTTTCCCCATTAGTCTGGAAGCGATGCACCGGATGTGATGCTGAAACCGTGTGCGATGAACAGGCAGATGGAGGTGACCACGTGTAACCGGATCTCTGGGTCACTCGTTCTCTTCAGGGTTCTGGGGATCGAAGATCTGGACGTGAGTGAAAGGGAAGAGTCCTTGCCGTCCATTCACTTCACCCTCCCACTGGCCGCTGATGTTCATCCTGGTCACTTTCACAAGGTCACCAACCTGTGAGAGAAAGATAACCAGAGTTCAAGTCATCGCACAGAGTCAGGGCAAAGTGCCAGATAGAGAATTGAACCCACTCACTGCTGTGGGACACAGCCATGTGAAGGAGACCCTTTTCTGGCCCATATCTACTGTTAAATACCTCTCAACACTGTCATCTAACACTCAAAATCAAAAAGGATTTTCAATCAATCCATTCAGAGATGTAATGACAGTCCACACAATTTAAGGTTGCTTAATTCAAACTGCCACCTGACAATCTAAACCTGGAATTAGCAGCAAGCTATGGCATGTCTGACCTATCTACATTGTTCAAATGAAATGACTATGTATTTCCAGGGTTTTGGTGCAAAAGGACAACTTTGAACCTTCAGGAGTAAATTACCACCAAATAAAACAAGCAAATACATTTTTGTTGTGTCATCCTAACTCCATATTTAACATGTTTGTACCTGTACCCACACCCATGAGATGCTGACTAGTGTTAAAAGAACACATTCTATCCACAAAAACGACCTGATCTTCTAGATGCCTGCCATTTCAACACACCGTATTCCCTGGCCAACATCTGTCTCAGGCTTGGAGATAGCAAGAACTGCAGATACTGGAGTCAGGTCCCGAAATGTCAACTTTCTGCTCCTGATGCTGCCTGGCCTGCTGCGTTCCTGTCTCAGGCTTGCTGCAGTGCTCCACTGAAGCTTAGCGCAAACTGGAAGAACAGCATCTCATTTTCTGCTCGGGAACTTTGCAACCTCCTGGACTCAATATGGAGTTCAATAATTTTACAGCCTGAGCAGCTTCTCCCATGTCCTTACCCCAATGCCCCAAACACCAGACCTTGTCATCACATGGGTTGCTACCACAAACAACCCATTGATACCCACTAATAGCCCCCATTAACAACTATTTATCCTCCATGGCTGACTTTTACCCAGTCCTTCTCTACCTCTCCAACTCCACCCATCGCTTACTCCTTCCCTCACCACCCCACCCCTTTTCTAGCAAATATATCAACTTTTGCCTAGCTACTACCAGTTCTGAAGGAGCTTCACTGGATCCAAAACATTAATTCTGCTTTCCCTCCACTGATGCTGCCAGACCTGCTGACTTTTTCCAGCAAATTTTGATTTTGTTAGTGTTAAAAAGATGCTGATTTGGCAGGTAGAGCACTTCTCTCAACCTTGAGTGCTGAGCTTCTTCTGTCAGTGCAACAGACCAACCTACTAGCTGTCTATTTTTAAAATATGAAAATACACAAACTATTCCACCATGGTTTGTACTTACAGGTCCTATCCCTGTACCCAGTCTCATCATCTACTTTAAACTTGGAATGGAATTAGTGGCTCTTATGTGATAATAAGGAGGTGGTGGTGGAGGGGACAGGACAAAGAAGAGGATTATATAAAACCAGGATAAACTTCAGCAGTCCTAGTGGATGAGTATCTATTACAGCATGAGCACCACACCAGCTCTGTACTGTGTTCTCCATCCAAACCTTGTGGATCCCTTTATATCACCACCACCACATCCTTATTATCACATAAGAGCCACTAATCCTGAGGAACCACAAACACAAGAGGAAACCAGACACACAAAGATAACAAAGGAAACTAAAAAAAACACTCCTCAGAAAAGCGGCAAGGGTGTACTGTGACTCAGCTGGATATTAACCATTGGTGTGCTGCTGATTGGTTTCAGGAGGCCAGGTATTTTACAGTGCGTTAACTCACCTCGTGGCCTCCCCAAAGCCTGCCCACCGTCTACAAGGCACAAGTGAGGAATGTGTTGGAATACTCCCCACTTACCTGGACGAGTGCAGTTCCAATAACACAAACCCTCATTTGACTGCTACTCCATGCACTACCAACTTTCACTCCCATCCAGGGGCAGCTGTGTGAGCCATCTGCAAGGTGCACTGCAGCAACTCCCCAAGGCTCTTCTAACAGCACGTTCCAAACCTGTGACCAATACCATTTAGTGGGGCATGGTCAGCAGATATTTCAGAACATCACTACTTGACTATTCCTCTTCAAGCCACACTCATGGAACTATATTGCTGCTCTTTCACCATCGCTAGGTCAAAATCCTGAAACTGCCTCCCAAACACCACTGTGGGAACACCTATAGGTAAAGAAGGCAACTCAGTACCCCCTTCTCCAGGGCAATTAGGCAGAGGCACTGACACCCACATTGGAGAACAGAAATAAGATGTTATTGTAAGCCCAGGTTGAAAGTGGGATACAGTTAAAGGATCACATTTCAGAAATCGGCTATTATCACGGTGCTGTATATGATCATGATTCTAATGAGATGCCAGCGTTCTTGCTGTTTAATTGGTTTCCCTATCCTAGAAAGGAACATATAGCCTCGCAACTAAAGTTGGGTTTTGGAATCTGCAACCAGTATTCAGTGTAAACTGCTGCTGGTCTGTTTGCTCCAATAAAACAACAATTTACAAACAGTTCCTAAGTTACTGGCATCACCAGTGAGAAGAAATAAACTGTTGGTCTCAGCAAAAACAAGCACCTGATTCCATAGAAGCTAAAGAGCAGTTTGGCACAGGTGGCAGTGGCTGAGAAACCAATGCAGCAGCAGATGGCAGTCGACTCATTGTTAGGAGAATTCTGCTCATTCATGCTCCAAATGTTATGTACAAGTCACCGACACCCACTGGTGTGATTCATTCAGGGCCCAACCTCAGTCATTTTGTGACCTGACCAAGTAAAGTGGGTTTTCTTCAGATCATCAGGGCTTTGTCAGAGGGAATGACAAGATAACCGGTGGTAATGTCATTCCCAAAACAAAGTGGGTTAATCAGCAAACTGACAACTCAATATACATTGCTCACCAATAGGGCCTCAATACGAAAGTTCTCAGATAGCTCTGGATCTGTCTGGTGACTCAGGGCTGTTAAAGTCTGCCTATTCTTGGCAACAGTGCACTACGAAGCATAGCTCCAAGTGTGTTAAGTCAGGAAGGGAACTGTTAAATTGATAGCACTCTGCATATGAAGAGCAAACTTTTTAAGAAATTGAGGGAGCCTGCACCCATGAAAACCTCTCAGTAATTTGACATACTTCCTCATTCAGGTCAAAGTTTAAAAATTAGAGGTTGTAAAGTAGCAAGATGTGAGTTAATGATTCAGCCTGGTAACTTGGGGAGAGTGTAAACTGATGCCAGGAGAATGGGCTTGAACATATTCTTGAGGGACCACACACTTTCTTGACTCAAAGGTGACCGGAGAGAATGAACTCTACACACCTTACTACAGCCAGTCTCACTGTTGAAGTGCCAAGCACACGGATACGTAGAACATAGAACATTACAGCGCAGTACAGGCCCTTCAGCCCTCGATGTTGCGCCAACCTGTGAAACCAATCTGAAGCCCATCTAACCTACACTATTCCATTATCATCCATATGTTTATCTAATGACCATTTAAATGCCCTTAAAGTTGGTGAGTCTACTACTGTTGCAGGCAGGGCATTCCACGCCCTTACTACGCTCTGAGAAAAGAACCTACCTCTGATAACTGTCCTATATCTATCACCCCTCAATATAAAGCTATGTCCCCTCGTGCTAGACATCACCGTCCGAGTAAAAAGGCTCTCACTGTCCACCCTATCTAATCTTCTGATCATCTTGTATGTCTCTATTAAGTCACCTCTTAACCTTCTTCTCTCTAACGAAAACAGCCTCAAGTCCCTCAGCCTTTCCTCATAAGACCTTCCCTCCATACCAGGCAACATCCTGGTAAATCTCCTCTGCACCCTTTCCAATGCTTCCACATCCTTCCTATAATGCGGCGACCAGAACTGTACACAATACTCCAAGTGCGGCCGCACCAGAGTTTTGTACAGCTGCAACATGACCTCATGGCTCCGAAACTCAATCCCTCTACCAATAAAACCTAACATACTGTACGCCTTCTTAACAACGCTATCAACCTGGGTGGCAACTTTCAGTGATCTATGCACATGGACACCGAGATCTTTCTGCTCATCCACACTACCAAGAATCTTACCATTAGCCCAGTACTCTGTATTCCTGTTACTCCTTCCAAAGTGAATCACCTCACACTTTTCCGCATTAGATACTGCTTTGAGGTGAATAAAGAAGCCTGGAGCTCAAAGCGATTTTGCAGCCCAAGGAAACAACCTCAGATCCTCACCACCTATCACAACTTGAAGAAAAATTAAGTGTTGGCGGGGACCTTTCAGTACCCAGCAAACATCACACCTTGTTTGGGAAAGGAGGTGTATTTGTTTTGTTATAGGCTGGATGTTTAGCACTGTTTTTTCTAATCATTCATGAGATGTGGGCAACATTGGCTGGGCCGGCATTAATTGCTCATCAGCAGTATAAACATTCTACTAAGCATCAGTGGAGGAGGGAGTGGATACTTATGGATGTAGTGACTATCAAGCTGGTGTGTCCTGGATGGTGTCAAGCTTCAACAATTTTTGGAGCTGCACTCATTCAGACAAGTGGGAAGTATACCATTATACTCCTGATTTGTGTCTTGTAGACAGGCTTTGAGGAGTCAGGAGGTGAGCTAACCTCTGCAGGATTCCAAGACACTGACCTTTTCTTGTAGCCCCTGTACTAGTCGAGTTTCTGGTCAAAGGTAACCTCCATAGTTGACAGTGGGGGATTCAACGATGGTAACGCCACTGAATTTCATGGGGTGATGCCTGGCACTTGTGGCACAAATATTACTTGCCAATTGTCAGCTCAAGCCTGGATATTGTCCAGATATTGCTGCATTTGAACATGGAATGCTTCAGTATCTGAGGAGTTACGAATGGTGCTGGACATCGTACAATCACTGGTGAACATCCCCACTTCTGACCTTATGATAGAGGGAAGATCATTAATGGAGCAGCTGAAGATTGGTTGGGCTGAGGACACTACCCTGAGGAACTCCTGCAGAGATGTCTTGAGATTGTTGACCTCCAATACAATTTTGTGTTAGATATGACAGTAGAAACTCTTACCCA